GGACAGGGGAACGTGATCTATGAGATCTACTCTCATCTATAACCTCTTCAAATATATCTTCTCTTTCTCTCTCTCTTCCCTGGTTGTCGGGAAGACTATCACAAACATCTATTTCCAGGGGGTGGCAAATAAAAGTCAGAATACTCTCGGTTTCGTCGTAATGTTCAATAACAGAGGTATCCACAATATCTTCTTCTTCTTGAGTCAGCTGAACCCCAGTCTTATCAACTACTACAGGTATAGATGTAGGCCTACTGCCTACCGGCTTTACGCTACCTTTTTTCTCAGGTTTCTTTCTTATGTTAGTTGGTTTCGTACACTTAACATTTCTGTAATGTTTGTAAAGGTTTTTGAATAAAGTGAACTCATAACCACACAGCAAACACTTGTTGTGAGCCAAGACATCTTTGTTAGCCACAATGTAGTCAACAACCTTACCACGTTCCTCTCTTGATTTCTTGGCATCTGTTTTTAACAGTCTTTCTTTTAATTCGGTCAATTCCACTGAATTACAGTTGTCAGAAGACTCTGTGGCAGCTTCACTCGGACTTTCTTCTGAAACATCCTCAGCCACTATTTCTCTAGCCTGTACCTTGGGACTTTTGAAGAGATTTCTCCTAATTATTTCACTACAAACATTTGTTGGTGAAAAAGGGGAGCGAGCGGAGTCAGCATTAGGTTGAAATGATGGGTTCACAATATGCCTTGGCAGAGATTCATAGGCAGTCATGAGTTCCTGAACATTTGCATCCCACTCGGACTTTTCAACATTGCACCTTGGATTATCCGTCTGGTGGCTATCCAGTAGCTTTAGAACTTCATTAAAATCCTTGTCAAAATCCTTATAAGGACTATCACCAGTTTCAACACTTCCTCGTTTTATAAGTATCATTTGCATGTTGTTAAGAATTCCTAGGAAGAAATTCCCTCTCCATTTCATCTGTCTCCTAACATCCTCATCTCTCTGAGTCTTCGGACACTAAAAATAATAATTAACAAATATTATTTATTGTTTATTACAAATTGCATTATTACAAATATTATAAAGACTGTTCAAATCCTTGGTACCAGGTAGGTTCATGACCTAAATTTCAAAGAAAAACAAAGCATATTTATATGACTCACTTCATGATCGATATGTATGATGAACTCTTCTATCTTTTTCTTAATTGTACTAAAGTTTTCCATTTTGATGAATCACTGCAGAGTAGTATCTGAAAATAAAAAAAATAATATCATACATAAAAAAATAGTATTGTTAGGTTAGTCACATTATTCAAGCAAATTAAAAATCACAATAAAT